TGTATTCTTAAAAAAAAAAAAAGAAATAAATTATTTTTTTAATTATAATAAAAACCAAAATATCATAGTAATAAATTATGCATAATCAATTAAAGAATGAATTAAAAAAAGAAATATATTTGTTAGTTGAATCTTTAAAAATGATGAGGGAAAATACTATAAAACTAGTTTTTTTTTGCCCGTGCGTTGCACGGGTGTGGTTTTTTTTTTTTTTTTCATTTATCTTTAATTGTGTTTTTTTTTTTATTTGGTAGATTATATTTATGAAATATCAATGATATAACAAAAAAGAATGAATATTTATAAGAAGGTATTTGAATATCATGCTTTATTGTTATTATTTAATAGTGACTTGTAGTAAGACATTAAGAGCTTTTTATTTTTTAATGGTTACTTGTGGGAAATCATTAAAAACTCTGTAATAAACAATATTTTTTGTGTAACCTTCATGGTCTTGTTCATCATAACCAATGAAAATCTTTAGACCAATTGGAGATGTCACTCTAAATGCAGCTACATATAATTAGCCATGGTTGAAAACAGGATTTGATAGATATAGGCCAACATGCTTTAGGGACTGCCCTTGACTCTTATTAATTGTCATTGCGTAGCACAGCCTTAAAGGAAGTTGTCTTCTCTTCAATATAAATGGCCATTTTCATTGATGTAAAGTCATTGTAATTCTTGGTATTAAAACCTTCTCGTCAATCTTGTTTTCTGTCATGATCTTGTCTTCAATGACCCATTCTCCCAACTGTGTTATTTTTATTTTGGTGTCATTGTAAGTTTTTTTATCTTATAATTAGAGGTGTAATAATATTATCATTTGTAACTATTAATATAATAATTTTGAATAAAATTTTTAATACTATGATTTGTAATTGTTAATATGATAATTTTGAATGAGATTTTTTTATTTTATGTTGTTATTTAATTATTTATTTTTTTATCATTTTTTATTAATTAATGGAGATTTTAATGTACATGTAAATGGCATAATTTTTCTCTTCTTTTAATTCTTTTCATTATTATTTTCCGTTATGCATATATCAGGGTGAGTTTAATTTTTAATAACTGGTGTTTAGAGTTTTTAACTATATATTAATTTGTTCAACTTCCTCTATAATAATTATATCAACAATTATATCAACACTAAGCAAGAGTGTCAAAACACTACCCGTGTCGGGTTTTTGGGTCCTTTTGCTATTTTTTCAAAGATAAAATTGTAAGTCTGGTCCTAAGACTTCTACATGATGAACAATCTAATCTCATATCTTCAAATTTATTCATTTAGGTCCCCAATTGGAGCCATTTATTTCACAATATAGACCTCAAACTTTGAAAAGATTTACAATTTAGTCCCATGACTTCTATTATTATGCATTCCAGTATTTTTTATGCGTTTCCAAGGATACGCATCTTTCACCTCTGGATGCAGCTCCTGTTTACTTCCCATTTCAACACTATGAGGGCATAGTTTCAACGGCGTTTAAGTAGTAGTATTTTTTTTTTTTTTTGTTGGGGTTGGGTTCCCTTTGTATTTTTTACATTCCTTTTGTTTGTCTTCTATTTTTCATAGTCATTCTCATAGGATGGAGAAACTGAATAATTAATTAAATATAATATAATAAAAGGTGAAGAGAATGATTATTTAATTAGGAAAAAGGGACAATGATAGTTGACAACAAT